ATTAGATTTCATTATCATTTCTTGAATGTGTTTCTGCAGTGTTTCAAAGTAAATAACAGATAAGTACAGTTTTACCTGGTCAATAAAATGAAAAATAACTACAAAGCTACATTTTATAACACCGTTCTGTTTTACTTATGAGACCAATACTGATATGTCAAAAAATGACTAAAATTATTTGTTGATAGATCACTGATCCTTAGCAAATCCCACTGGTTTTTGAAATTGGATTTGGTACACGGATTGTTTGATTTCAATACTAGCAATTTGATTTCAGAGGACAATGAATCATTAGCGTAACGTCCAGTTGCACCTTTTCCTTCTTCTGGGTCACTTTAGTGTTGTATTTTTCTCAGTGCTACCTTTTTTAGATGTGTCTTGAGCAGCTCATCAGTACCTTGTTGCCTCGTTTATTTCTCCATCAGTTTTGTCTGTGGAGCAATTAAATCTTACTTTACACAATGAAAAGGATTTTTATTTGGAGCGTCATTGCACATTGTGATGATGGAATAGAGAGAGTGGTTAGTAAAGTATGTTAACTGCGTTATCTCAGTATTTGATTCGTTTACCCCTTATCACATTAATGATTTTATAATTGCTTCCCCTAGTAGAAAAAAAGCAAAACAGGAAATTTCTAAACAGAATTAACTAGTGAAATTCAGCAAATTAAAAAAGAAAGTTTTATTTGAAAAGGCAAATGGTTAGCTAAACTGTAGACTTAAAATTTAGAAGAGGAAGCCAAAAGATGGCAGGATGTGTTAGATACTGATCAGAGTCTTTCTGCATTTGCTCATTATCAGTAACTGCTAAGCCTTCATAACCAACATGCTAACCCCACACCTCCCTCTTGTCTTGTAGTTGTAACTTCTCGTCAGCACTGCTGATATTATTAGGAACTTAAATCATTCTTTTTTTCAGTAAATCCACAGCAAGACAACTCATTATCTTCTACTAGCTAGCATGCTGTTAGCAAACATGAAATTGGCTTGCAAATTATTAGGTTCGGCTTTATTGTCCAGGGTTGTGTACATAAACAAGGACTTTGACATTTGGTTTTCACACCCAGTGCACAGACATTAAGTATAAATGTTAGAAGAAATAAAATGAGGGATAAAAGAAATGGTGTGTATGTTCAACCAGTTTTTTTGTGTAAAGAACAAGAATAAAAGGAAAGCAGGTTGTGGAGGGTCAGATATGCTTATGTTGTTCACAGTAGAGGAGCTGACTAATCAAGCTGTATGAGGCAGCCTGTATGGATGCCCAGAAGGGTCAACAAAGTGCAAATCCCACAACGTGACAACAAATGCCACAACAGAAGATATGCTTAAAAGTAAATTATACCAACTTAGAATGACTTCTGTTGTGGCTTTTGTTGTTGTGCTGTGAATTTTGCATTTTGTTGACCCTTCTGAGTCACCGTATGCATAGGGGAAGAAGTTTCTGTCTTGTGTGGTTTTGGTTTTTGCAAATAGCACTTTGTAAACATCGATGGGAAGATAAATGTCTAAACATTGCATCAACATAATCTGTCATTTTAAGAGTGTAGATGTTTTATTTTGAATGCTATCTCTAATGGTGTTATCTGCTGTTGGCTAGCATTCTTTTAGCAGCTTGTAAGGTTCTACTTGTATGGCAGCCAATGTGAGCATGATGAGGTTTAGAATAAGATTTTGGGGTCTGTAGCAACATGCTAATCTTAGCTAATGTTGGCTAATATTAGCATGTCTTTTTTTTCTGATTACATTTTAACAAACATTAGTTCTAGATTCCTGTTGCATTTTGGCCTCAGCTCTTCAATTAAAATGTTTATTAGGTTACTGCTGGGTTGTATGCACCAAGTGAGAGACACCATTATGATTTCTTTGGGGTTTTTCTGACTAATGACTAATTCTCATTTTTCTGTAGAAAATACCAAATAGTGGCCATTTAACCTTTTTTTTAATCTTTGTTCTGATGTTTTAGAAAAAAATCAAACATTTGAAAACAAACTTGAGGAACTGATGTTGTAATATATTCAGTCATTTTAGCCATTTGTTGGTCAGATTATTAACACTGCCAATTATTTGCAACTGAAAATAGGTTATTGTTGACCTCAGATACGCAGAAAACTCTCAAAATAAGGAACTAAGAATGCTTGTTGCCTAAAGCTGCAACCATCACCAGTATCTTAAGACATATAAGTGAACACCAAAGATTTGCAAATTGATTTTTTTTATTTACCTGTACTTAAATAACTTTGCAGTTTGCATTGTACTCTACCGATTGTTAGAAGGGAAATTTGTTTGGCAGTTGAGCGTGACTCTGTTCCCTCCTTTATGTGTAAAGGCTTAAAAAAACCCGGCCCATGTAGCCAGTGACGCATAGTTTTGATTTCATGAATGGCTGTGGTGGGGGTGGCTTCTCCTCCTCTCAGTCATAAGACTGCTGAGCCACTTGGCTTCATCAGGTGACTCCGGGAAGTCATGTGCTGCGGACTCTGTGTATCAAAGCTGCATATGCACTCTTACTTTGCAAAGTAATCAAAGTTTAGGGAGAATAAAACAATTTGAACATAAAGTAGCTCACAGTAGTCAGTTGTTTCCGCCTACAGGAATTCAGGGGAACATTTTCTGTTCTCACATCTTCATTTGTTTTTCAAGAGGAAATGTTGACACACGTTGCATTGGATTGCGAAGAGTTTCACCTTCCTACAACAGTTTAACTTTTCCTGCAGAGAAGGAACAGCTATCTTCAGAAACTTGTACTACTAGCTGATGTAATTTCAAAAGCAAATACCCTTATCCAAGTTATAGTTTGGGTTTATTTTAAGACGAGTCATATGTTATGTTACCCATATGACTTGTCATTTGTAAAGAGTCCTTTTAAGGTTCTAGAAGTTATGTTTTCATATATTAGCACTTGACTCCTTTTTTATTTTGTGGTAACTTTAACAGCGTAAACTTACAAAATGTCCAGGTGAAATCGTTGCTACTGGTGCATCTCCATAAGTTAGACTGTTTTCAAGTTTATTTATTTCAGTTATTTAAATTATCGAGGGAAATTCATACACATTTCTTCATAGTGATGCATTTCAGTGATTTACTTTTTGTACGTTTGATACTTATGGTTTACAATTAATAAAACCAAAAATTCAGTTTCTCTGGAAATCACAATGTGGCATAAGTTTATAAAAATAAATTTTCATGCGGAAATGCTTTGACCTACATAATCATGAGAAAAACTACACTCTTCAGAAAGAGGGTGAGCCGCAAAATGTCATCGCTGAAGAAGCTGACGTTATATCCAGGTATACAAAAAGAGAGTGGAAGGAAAAATAATGCTTGTGTAAGCAAATGGGAAGACAGGACAGCAACCTGGGCTGCTTTACCACCCCAGCAGAGCCACAGGCTGGTTACCTTTATGGTGTTATGCATTCATGCAGTAATTTATGCAAAGGATACTGTAGAAAACATGAGCATATCTTTGGCAAGGGGTATGAGAAATCCTTTATTTTTCTTTGGTTTGTAATATTCAATTGCTCTAAGAAAGTATATTTTGGGTTTTCATTATCTGTAGGCCATAATCATGCAAATTGAGTTAAATAAAACCTTGAAATTTATTGGTCTGTGTCTGTAATAAATATTTCTGAAATTGGTTTCAATTTATGATGTGAAGTACTTAAAATTTCTCATTTATTGGGATGCTGACGCTAAAGTGTGTTTGTTTTAATCACTCCACTAAAATTGTGGTTCTCATAGCTTTTGATTTTCTCATGACATTTGATAGGAAAGCTCAAAAACGACCTTTTTCAATAAACATTTGTGAAGATGTGTAGCATGTGCAGAAACGGTGAACCAAGGAAGAATTAATTTCACCTTCGTGTTTTTCCAGTCTGGTCATTTCAGTGAAGACATGATCCCTACAGTCGGCTTCAACATGAGGAAAGTCACTAAAGGAAATGTCACCATCAAGGTTCAGCTTTATTTCATCTATTGTTAACAGTCACTTCACTTCTAAATGTTTAAAATATTTTGTGGAAAAACTACAGTTCCAGCCCAAATGCAGAAGTGAATATCCAGTGACTTTGCTGTTCTTTCTGCAGATCTGGGACATAGGAGGGCAGCCCAGGTTCAGGAGCATGTGGGAGAGGTACTGCCGGGGAGTTAATGCTATTGTGTGAGTATCCAAACCGTTTCTCTGGTTTTATTTAAATTAGGGACAGCTTGAGTGACACGAAAGTGTTACTTTCTTGCTAATGATGACTAAAGCAGTTTTTTTTTTCATACGTACGAAACTGAAGGTACATGGTTGACGCTGCAGATCGAGAAAAGGTGGAGGCCTCCAGGAATGAGCTTCATAACTTATTAGACAAACCTCAGTTGCAAGGAATTCCTGTAAGTGTCTCCCTGCAAGCACTTTTGCAGATGTGTGTAATTTCCATACCGGTTACGGAAAACTTTGTGGCTTCCTTTAGATTAATCCCTGCAGTTTCACTCTGCAGTAGTAATGTTGTGTTTCTTCTTTCTCTGTTTAGGTTTTGGTTCTTGGCAACAAAAGGGATCTCCCCAACGCTTTAGATGAAAAGCAGCTCATTGAGAAAATGTGGGTATGAGTGATGCAAAACAAAACGTGCCAACGTCTGAAATTGATTCAGCTGAAAACCTGCAGATTAGAGCAGTTTAACTGTGTTTAAAACTTTGACCAATTATGAATGTAATGTAATTTTTTTTTAAGTCCTGCAGCATTTCAAACATTTTTGTCCTGCTGAGAGGTCTTGCCTAAGTTCCTCATCCACATTTCTTTTAAACTGCAGCCGTTATCGTTTGTGCATTACTGGCTCCATCTAGTGTCAAGTTCAGAATATGCATGCATCTCCCAGACGGCGAATAAACTGGGGAGAGGATGTGTTGTCATGTATGTTCACACCCTTGTTTCCATTTGCAGGAACCTTGCAGCTATTCAGGACAGAGAGATATGCTGCTACTCCATTTCCTGCAAAGAGAAAGACAACATTGGCAAGTTGCACTTAATTTCTGTAGTGTTGTTCTATTGAAGCATTATGCTTACAGGTATTTAGACTGCACAGTTTTATTTCCACCTGTAGTTGAAGTTAAAATTTGGATTTCTGAAGAATATTAAAAAGTCATAAAGCAAATTTATCCACAGATATAGGTCTTCCAGAGAAATAGGTCTTCAGTTAAATTTAGTTCCTTAATATGCCCGTCATTTCTTCTGTTAACCTTTTCATATTTTTTTTAAGTTTTGTTAGTGAGGAATTCGTTTGATAAATGTGTTGTGCTGCATTTAGTAAGTGGATGCTGTGACACTCGCCCTTTCACCTGTAGGAGGATTCTGCTTCAGCAACAGCATTTTTGTAGTTTTATTAAGCATTTATACTCAAAAGGTTTTGTTGTGGTATTCAGAATTATATATTAGTTGTTTATAAAAACAAAGTTGTTTTTTGTAATTGATGGTGAGCCTCAGATTGATGTAATGGGGGACTGTAAAATGTCTTTAATTTAACTTATTAAAATTTGTAGGAACCCTATAAAACTTCGGCAGCAGTCTGGTAGATGACATGTGTGCTGCAGTTCTGACCAGTATTTAAAATGTACACTGATGATGCAGCAGCTGAAAGTATAATTTTCATAGATGTAGTCAATAAGCTTTTTTCTTGTCAAGCTTTAACTGTTCCACAGTAATGTGCGCTGAGGACACAGTCTAGACCAGAGGAGTTCAAGTCCAGGCCTTGAAGCCTGGTGTCCTGCAACTTCTGTCCCCATCCACATGGACATGATTTTAGGTGGATCTGCAAAAATGTTTTTGTTGTTTAGGCTGCATGTCAGCACAGATTTGACGTCTTGGAAGACCAGAAATGATCATTTTTGAATCCATATTCCAGAGTGGAAAATTTTCAGAACCACTGCGAGCCTGTTCTTTTTTCTGTTTTCTTTTTTAAATGATAATGCTGAAGCTCCATCTCCATCTCTCTTGATCCCCCATGTGTCACTTTCACAAATGTCATTGTGATTTTTTTTGTGTTTCTCCAGCAGTGTTAGAGCGCCACCGATTGGTCCAGAATATCAACTACTTCAATGTTTTTTTTTTTTGTTTTGCACGTTGCAGTGTGGATGCACATTTTTCTTAATTGTTTGCAAAAATATACTGTACTCGTTTCATGTTCACAGGGCCTTAGCTGTGTCTCTGCTTCAGCACACCTTAATGAAATAATGAGATCATTAAAATGATGCTGAAGAACTAGATTGCTTTCTGAGGAGGAAATTCAGCTGTTTGATTCAGATGTGTTGGAATAGGAAGGTGCAGGACACTGGATTTGAAGACTCCTGGTCTAGACTCTTAATCTTTAAAAGCATGTCTGGAGTTAGTTTTTCAAGCATCTATTCATTATCCTTAAAAAGTCACTTTAAGCTCATGCTAGGGTTGTAGTGGATGGAAAGGAAGTCGAATTATTGATACGCTATTATTCATTTGGCTCAAGCATTGAAGAAAAAAAGAGTTGCTGTTGTAGCTAAATATCAGGGGTAAACATGTAGGGGGAATGTTTGGACAAAATTATAATTGATTTAAGTTGAAATAACAGACAGAAGTATTTTTATTGATAGAGGACACATAAAAAAAGTAACCCAGTAAAAACAATACATTTTCAGACCTGAGAAACTTGATGCTTACAAAGAATGCGTGTAGTCTCCTTGATTGTTAGGCTGCTCACTCTGGTAGTGTGACCTGCGTTGTCTTTATCCCTCAATGTTCGGTTGTTCCTTCCCTTTAAAACAATATCCCAGTTGTTTCGTAATCCTGGTAAGGAAAGAAGAGATGTTCTCCTTCATACAGAGTGACTGCAGGAGTGCTCACTTCATCTGTTCATGCGTTCTCAGTAAGGGGCACAAATCCAGTCAGCATATTAAATTAAAGAGGCATTTTGTTGTCAGGAAATGAGCAGTTCTCAGAGAGATGCAGTGCTCTGAAGTTCCACCTCGTCTGAAATGCGTTTCTGTTTTAGAGCTGCGGCTCTGAAGGCTCTTATTCCATCAGAATTTTTTTTTAGACAATTAAAATGCCAGTTGTGATTTATTTGTCTTCCATATTTCCCAGATATTTAGGCTGTCTAGCTCTAATATGGTATATTTGAACTATGGTTTTTTTTTTTACATCAATTCTTGCTTCTAAAACTGAGCCTGTGTCTTTCTCTCAATTGCAGATATCACACTTCAATGGCTCATCCAGCACTCGAAGTCTCGCAGGAGCTGAATACTGCATTTATTTTCTCTTCTGTATTTGCCATGTTGCTGTCATGTCACACTCTCACTACCGCGCAATGATGTACAGCCGCATTTTCACTTTATGTGCTGCCCTGTTCTGCTTGCTTCTTACCTTTTTTACCCCCAGCGATTCTTTCACAAACTCATAATGCACTACTTAAACTTCTGATTCGAGGTTTAAAGAAGGAAGTTAACATAATGCATCAAGTGAAGCTGTAATTTACAGAGAAAAAGGAGACTGACTTTTCAGTTACCTTTTCTCTTGCAAGCATTATCCAGGGGGATGGCTACCGATAGTGGGTATAATAATGCACACTCTCACAGAAAGGTGTTTATTTTGTCCAACAGACCTCACACAATGGGAAATGTTCTTCACAGGCGGGTACTATGCCAGGATGTGGCTGATTTGGACCTCATTTCTATCGCGCTCTGTTCCTGTGAATGTCCTCCGATGACTGTCACTCTTCGCTTGGATCAGTGCGCGTCTTTTTCTTTTAGAAAATTCTGCATTCTTTGCATTCAATTTGAGCAGATCTGTACAAATATCTTGCTAGTATGATTTTTACCAATGTGGGATGTGTGTGTATGAATATATGATTCTATTTAAAGTCTGAATGTACCAAAAGTAAAGCTGTACAGGCTCGTGTGGTTCATGTTGGCCTCGGTATATAGTCTGATGATGTCTTCTGTGCTGCTGAGAGAGTGGCAGAAATTAAAGTGCCTTGTGCAGCGTCTCTCTCTCTCTCCTCTGAACAAAGCAGCATGTAAGGTAGAGCCACAACGACTCCACCTCAATGTGTTAGAAAATAAAAAGGCATGCTTTTTAATTTAAACCTGGTTGTGTTATTTGTATGCTTTGATTTGCTTTTAAAGCATAGTTTTAGTGTAATTTAACCTAAACTATTTGGATTTCGGATGACAAAACACTTGGCTTTTTATATCATTTAGGCTCTGTGTATCTACACAAGTGTTTTTAAATACTATAGTTGGAACATAATGCTCTGAAATAGTATTTGGTTTTTGCTTTTTGTTTTTTTTGTCAAAGTTGCATGTTTCAGATGATTACACAAAGGCTAATAGTTCATCAGAGACGTTCAGTGGAAACACAAGGGCAGTTTTAAAACAATGATTTCATTCAAGATTCAAAAAAGCTACCCAAAACCAACTTGAATGAATCAAGTTGATGAAATGATCACTTCCCCTTGTTAAATCATGAGACCAGAGCAATCAAAGAGTTGTGCTTTTGTAAAGCACAATTCAGTTTCATCAGCCTAAGGTGTTTTAGGCTTGATTAATAAATCGTCTTAAATGGAACCTGTCTGAGAACATGAAGTATGCTAGCATGTCTCCAAAAGCATCATTAAGTCACATGGTCATAAAATAAAATCAAGAATATCAATAGCATTTTTTTGCCAATAAAAAGTGTTTGTGGGCCATGTTGAGAAAGCGATATATTTACTACCTGTTGCTCGTTATCTCGTCTCCCCAGGTCCGTTAATGTCGGGTGTAAAAGTGAAACTATAAAGACAGCAATCGCTGTTCAACTTCAACAATCAACCAGAATTTATTCAAACAATCAAATGGATAAAATCACACCAACAGCTCAACATAATCATCAGAAACCAAAGCCACAAAGAAGAAATGAATCACCTTAGAAAAATACAAAAAATACGAAGACGCGCCTTCGCCACTGTGTGTGGTTCAGACAGTTCCACCCCAGTGATCTGACCAGCTGTTTTAGCTCAATTACTTTTATATCTGTCTTATGAGTCTAACATACCATTTAGAGGTGGACTCAAAGAGCCCGAAATGATATGTTGCTCTTTGCATGCCAGCCACCATGCAGGTGTTTACCAAGGCCAAGGGATGAATTCATCGCTGTCTAAGCTATCCTCCCTGCGTACTTTCCCAGGGTACGAACAATAGATGTGTTCATTTTCATACAGAAACATTTTACTGAAGAAAGCGGGACCAAAGTTCATCAGCTATCTGTGTTTCTCATTTCAAACTGCCTCAAACTGGCTCTCCTGACGTCTCCTGTGACCCAGTGCATCAAACAGCAGATTTTGTTTATACATAAAAATTAGCAGACGTTTCATATAATATCTTCAAACTCTTATAAAACAGACATAACCAAAACATCTGTTACATTCAATATTTTCTGATTAGTTTTCAACTTCTTTGGTTATAATGAGCTAAAACATTTTCAGATGAATATATGATTTATAGACTCTTAAGAATATGATCTACTATAAAAAAAAGTATTGATTAGGCTAATTTTAATCAAATCAGGATCATTATAGCTAAGGAAAATGTTCTACTGATTAAGTTATATATTGATTAAACTATGAGTCTAAATCTAACCTAAATTGAGGCCTACTCAAAACAATCAGGATCAGTCTAATATTTCAACATGTGCTAAAGTTAAAGCTAGCATTAAAAGCAGCATAATTAAAGTAATATTTCCAGCAGCCACCAAATATGAGTTTATTTTTTTAAAAATCAATGTTTTAGCCTGTTTAACAATAAACTACACATGCAATATTTTAGTAAGACAAGATATGTAGTCATTTTGGAGGAAAGATATTTGTAAATCATTTCAGGCCATAAACAAAAAAGGGTTTTGTAAGTTTGCCTTATATACAAAAACCATTCAGCTCTCCATGTTTTACTGTTTTTTTCCCAAGGTTTACTTGATTCCATGTTGTCTAGTCTCAGCAACAATTGGCTTTGGATCTAGACAAAAATAATTTGCTTTATTTATCCAAGTTTAATATATCAATTAAATGCAAGATTGGGGTGAACCTTTGGGTCCTTTTTAGAAACAATCGCTGGACATGTGTGGTCTTATATAATAAGAAATTAGGACAGCAGAAAGCATGATTATTAAAAGATTAATAATTTGTGTTGTTTCAAATATTTCACATTGTAAGACTGCCTGCTTCAGCTTGAATGTGTAACATTCTTCAATTTCAGTCTAGGGGCCGTGTTTCGGACATCTCTAACTAATATAAAGCATTGCAGGCCTCTCTTGGCTTAGTCAGGGTCAGTGTTTGTGATTCAGTAATTAAAAAAAAGACAGTGGGCAACAACTGCACTCACGGTAGAGATTTAAAACACAAACCACCACTGGCAAAAAGCACACAAAAGTCTCACATTTAGTTATCATTTATAAGTATAAGTGGATATGTATGAAAAAGAATATACACTGCTCAAAAAAATAAAGGGAACACTCAAATAACACATCCTAGACCTGAATGAATGAAATATTCTCATTGAATACTTTGTTCTGTACAAAGTTGAATGTGCTGACAACAAAATCACGCAAAAATCATCAATGGAAATCAAATTTATTAACCAATGGAGGCCTGGATTTGGAGCCACACACAAAATTAAAGTGAAATGTTCCCTTTATTTTTTGAGCAGTATATATTGTATATTTATTGTGAGTATAATGATTTATTCGTTTATTGGGTGGCCCATATACACAGTTTGTTTTTGACCATGCTGATTGACATAACAGTTAAGCGCACCATTTACTTTGCAAAATTGTCTAACGTACAGTCCTAGATTTAAATGTAACCAAATAATGTTTCGGCTTCTGACAGTTTCACTCTTGTGGCTCATTTTTATTGGTGCGTTTCACCGGAGTGCCACGAAACTTAACAGGAGAATTGACAGCTCGTCATCAGCCAATCAGCAATAAGCCCGCCTTTCCAAATAAATAATGACGAGAACGATTAGCCAATCGCATCACCGGATTTGGGATGGGCTGGTTTGTTGACAGGAAGTGAGTGAGGAAGAATCTCCACCGTACGAGCCTCCGTGCCTGTAGTTTAGCCTGACAAACAGCGGTTTTCGTGTTCAGATATACCTCGGAGGTAATGAGGACTTGGATTATGTACTTTAAGACCGACCTGGGGCAAAGATGCAATGGAGGTCAATAGTAGTGGGTCTGGTGGTCCTGAGACTCTCTGTAAGCTGGGTTCTGTGGCTAGCCTTCGGGCTGGGACCTGAGATTAGCTCCGGGTTCAACTTCCACCTCGGTTTTAATTTGCACAAACTGGACTTGCTGTTCCGCGAGGAAAAGGAAGCCGACCCGAGCGCTGCCTCTTGGTCCCAAAGAATCCAGGATCACAGGTATGACGAGACGGCGACCACCTGCGCAAAGATCGGGGAGGATTCCCCCAGGAGGTCCTACCTGAACCTCTTCGATGGCAACAAGGATGAGTACGTCCGGAGGTATACGTCCTTCCCTGACACGCTGAGGGTGAAAATGAAAGACATGGCCAAAGAAATGTTCTACTTTGGATACGAGAACTACATGAAATATGCCTTTCCAGAGGACGAGCTGAATCCCATTGATTGTGAGGGGAGAGGTCCAGACGTGCTGAACCCGTGAGTCTCTCTCTGATCTGGCCGGTCCTGGTCCTTAAGTTATTTTAAATAAGCTGAGATTTCCAGTTGTAGTTTGTAGGCAAATCAGCTTAAAGTGCAGCAAATAAGCTGGCCCAGGAAACAAGCAGGTCATGGTTCAGATTCACACACAAGATTCATTGACTGATCCTGTGTTGACCAACTCGGGTCGTGTGAGTACACTGACCTGCATGTCTAAGATATTCCATACCTGACTCAAAGGCATGAATTACCTCAGCAGCTTGTCATTCCTTTATGTTGAAGCTTACAAATTTAAATCAGGTAGGTTAAGGCATAAAAACTTGTTAGGCATGTAGATCAGAGTGTTGCATGGCTGGGAGACATTGAAAACATTTTAATCCAAAGC